AAATGTCTCCCGAACTCTTCTAAATCTTAAAGTTGGCAAGCCAAGAAACTTCAATCGATCCGAGTAACAAAGGCCTTCACAATTCCTGACCATCTTGGTTGCCCGTTTCTGAACCCTTTTCAAATTGTCAATTTCTTTTATTTTCCATGGAGACCATACACTGACACCATACTCTAACTTTGACCTAATTAAAAATTTATAAATCAAAATAAATGACTCTTTAGTTAAATAGTGTTGTTAATACGGTTGTTAATATGTATATATATATAAAATATATATATGTATGTGTATATATAGCGATATAGAGTTGTATAGAATTATATATTATTATATAGTGTTATATACGGTTATATAAATTTATATATATTGTTGCTATTGTTACTTTTATTAATATTATTATTATTATATTTGTTTTAAATCTAATTGTTCAACTTCAACCAGATTGGCTGCCGATATGTGGGTCGTACGAATAAACTTAGCCACTTTTCAAATGCTCTCACCTCATTGGCTCTGCTCTTGCCAGGGGCGGTCCTATTCGAACAGGGGGAGGAGCTTGGAGGAGGAACAGAGGTTGGTAATACCACCACCACCACCACCACCACCACTACCACCACCACCACCACGACTACTACTACTACCACGACTACTACTACTACCACTACCACTACTACCACTACTACTACTACCACTACCACTCCTACTACTACTGCCACTACTAATATTACTACCGCTACTACTAGTACTACTACTAATGATAATAATAATGAAAATAAAAATAATAATTTAAAACTCTTTTATTACAGAAAATCAGTGACATAAAATATAGAATAGAATAAAATATGGTCATTGTCAAATAATTAAATGCACAATGAAACCCTTGATAATTAAACGGTTATACAATGCTTCTGTCGCAATATTAATAAAAATAACAATAATCCAAATAATAATTATAATTATTATAATTTATTATAATTATGATATTTAGAGTCATGATAGCGTTAATGATAATGATTTAGTATCGACGATGTCAATGGAGATATATACAGCAACGAAGGCATTAAAATCACGAATTTACAGAGCCTGGAAACAGCCTTATCTCAGATGAAATCGTCGTTGTCGTCGTTGTCTTCATCGTCGTCGTCGTCACTGAAACTGTTCCACTCGCTCACTCGCGTCAGAAAAGATAAATCCTTTTTGCTTGGAAAGCTCCAATATGCTATTGTTGACGAACACGTTCTGTCATTTATCAGGTTCTCTGTTTTTCGTCTTCTCCATCAATTTTTTATTATTTTTGAATTTATTTCAAATTAATTATTAATTTTTATCAGGCGGTCAGCGCGTTAATTCATATCGCAAAATTTCAGA